ATTATGATATATCATTTATTCCCTAATAAGTACATAAAATGCAGGAGTCATTACTAATGGCAGTATCTGTTGCTATCATCATAAGACATACTAAAGTTGTACTGTAAAGCTTATGATACTCAGCACACTAAAGGATAAGGGTGTCTAATATTCTTAACATTTTTAAAGACATAATTATGAAATTGGGCAGTTTATATCTGACTTGGCACTGAAATGTCAAGGGCAAAACTTACCAGCTATTTTAGCAAGTTTAATTCTGCTTTAGATGGTATTTAAAAGACAGTTGTATGAGTTTTAATTAGGTATGATATTAAAGAGTATTTAAGTCTCCTATTCGGCAGTTGAAGGAAAAGAGATCATTTAGATCTTAAAAGGGTATATTTCTCAAAGGAATTATTGTGGGCTATCTAGCTATCTGCAAGCCAACTGGAATTACGAGTTCTAGGATGTCAAAAGATTGATACACTTGACTAATTAGGAAGTCAGCTGGGACTGGTCATGGCAGTCTGCAGCAGCTTGTGAAAGCCGATTTAAAGGTCCCATGGGAAATGTTAATATTGAACAATATTTGCGGCTCTTATGCTACCACTGTAGCAATATTGTATGCAGTTCTCCCCGGGCAATTTAAAAGATTTCTAAAATACTGCATGGTACACTTTCATTTCTTAAACTTTCCGTGATATAAACTTGGACAATATTATAGATAGTATGGGTATTATTAGCTAGCTGTGTAACTTCATAGAAGGTATCACAGTCAACTATTGGCATAAGCATCAAAAAACAGAATTTGGAGGCTAACCGAATGTGTATAAGTTTGAAAAACAGGCTTTCTGCATGTTTTGGGTACATAGATTAACTATGAATGCTTTTATTTTCAGTACTAACTTTTTTCAATACATCCATGCATTCAGGAAAACTACTAGAGGAATTTTTTAATTCAACTTTCTGTATACTCTATTTATTCTTGTGTTAACTGTTTTGCATGTCAATGGAAGCACTAATCTATAATCCAGTTTGTGACTACAGTATATTTCAGATAAGTATGAAAAACAGATAGTACCCATAAATATGTTACAGCTATGCTACAAAAACTTGTGGTTTTGCAGTCTTTCTATTCCATTATTTAAAATCTTTCTTTTTTATTTGATGCATCTTTTTATAGTATAGCAGATTATGCACCAGGATTTTTTTTTTACTGAAGAGTGCTAAGTTTTTGAAATAACTATGAAATCCATAGTAGTCTTGGATAAGCTTAAAAGGGAAGAGATGACATGCTGAAACAGGATTGAAATTTTTCTTCTGTTATTCCTACTTCCTAAAACAAAGCTTATGAACTCTTTTCCATAAGCATTTATGGTATCATTTTCAGGACTGTGATACTATTCAATCTTTTTTGCATTTCTATTGTCCAAAATACTTATAAACTTTCCTTCAACATTCATGTACCTTAATGTAACTAATGGGTTGACCTCAAAATTTCTTCAAGCATCGCTTTGGTTTGAAGCTATTCACTGACTGTTTTCATTTCAGACGTGAGTATTTTAGAGAATTGCATAACATCAGGTGGAGAAAGGGGAGGGGAAAAAAAAAAAAAAAAAACCAAACCAGGAAGCTGAATACATAACCTGAGTAATTTTTTACAAAGTACATTCCAAGCCACATTAACACCTGTGATAGCCCATTGATTACAAGAGAGCAAACTTCAATGTAATAAAGCACATTACACCAAACACAAAGCAAGAGGAAAATCTGTATTTCAGTCTTCATGTTTATTCTGTCTGCCATGTATTGTATAGAAAATAAGTTTACTCAAATGTTATGAGGATTTACAAAATATTTGCTAATTTTCCATTATTTCTTTTTGTGTACAGCTCTTTTGTGTAAGGTTGTTAAGTAACTAATCTGGTAATACAGAAAATAGCGAAAAGAGAAGAACTAAAGGTTACCATTCTCTGGGTAAAAATCTGGCTGGATGGCTGGGCCCAAAGAGTGGTGGTGAATGGAGTTAAATCCAGTTGGAGGCCGGTCACAAGTGGTGTTCCCAGGGCTCAGTTTTGGGGCCAGTTCTGTTTAATATCTTTATCAATGATCTGGACAAGGGGATGGAGCCGCACCCTCAGTACATTTGCAGATGAAACCAAGTTGAGCGTGAGTGTTGATCTTGAGGGTAGGAAGGCTCTACACAGGGACCTGGACAGGCTGGATCAGTGGGCTGAGGCCAACTGTATGAGGTTCAACAAGGCCAAGTGCTGGGTCCCACACTTGGGTCACAACAACCCCATGCAGCGCTACAGGCTTGGAGATGAGTGGCTGGAGAATTGCTTGGCAGAGAGGCACCTGGGGGTACTGGTTGACAGCCGACTTAATGTGAGCCAAAAGTGTGCCCAGGTGGCCAAGAAGGCCAACAGCATCCTGGCTTGTATCAGGAATAGTGTGGCTAGCAGGAGTAGGAAAATTATCATGCCCCTGTACTCCCGGCACCGGTGAGGCCGCACCTCGAATATTACATTCACTTGTGGGCCCCTCACTAGAAGAAAGACAGTGAGGCATTGGAGCATGTCCAAAGAAGGGCAGTAAAGCTGGTTGAGGGGTCATGAGGAGTGGCTGAGGGAGCTGGGATTGTTTAGCCTGAAGGAGGATCAGAGGAGACCTTATCAATCTCTACAACAACCTGAAAGGAGGTTTTAGTGAGGCAGGTGTCTGTCTCTTTTCTCAAGGAACAAGTGATAGGATGAGAAGAAATGGCCTCAAGTTGCATGAGGGGAGGTTTAGACTGGATATTAGGAATAACGTCTTCACTGAAAGAGTTGTCAAGCATTGGATCAGGCTGCCCAGGGAAGTGGTTGAGTCCCCATCCCTGGAGGTATTTAAAAGATGGGTAGATGTGGCACTTAGGAGCGTGCTTTAGTGGTGGACTTGGCAGTGTTAACAGTTGAACTCAATGATCTTAAAGGTCCTGTACAACATAAATGATTCTATGGGTGTTCTCAGATTACAGTTTTGGATTTTAAGGACCAGCATCTTGGGAGAGCAGCAAATCAAATGCTACAGGGAAGAAAAAGGGTTCTCCTTAGAGCACATTTTTAGGAAATTCCAAAAAATAAAACAAAATCACTTTCTAAACACAAATGTATGTGTAGAATTAGCAGAACTTAAAGACTTATGTGTAAAAATGCAAGCAAGAGGAACAGTAGTGCTAACTAAATGCAATTTGTAATTCAATTGCACAAAACCAGATTTTAAAATAAGATATTTTGGTCCTTGTGTAAATAATAAAGTAGTAGGTGTAATAGAGAAAATGACAAAAATGTTTATGAAAACCTAATCTGAATTTGAGTTGATGTTAGGGAACATCTGTTGTGAAATTTATATATGATTATATGTGTATTTCTATAGAATTTTTGAATATATAACCTCTTATTATCTTATATGGGGATTATCACTGTGTCATTTTGTCATATTTGAAGGAAATTTTTCTTTAATTTGTGGACAGGAAAGATTAATTTTGAGACAATAAATGATTTTATAGATTTTTAAATAGTGATTTGCATATCTTGGTTCCCAAAATCTTGTGTCTCTTTTTGGTATGCTTTCCTCTTCCACTTTTAGATGATATCCAGACTTAGGGTTCTCAGAAGGTAGATTAGATCCAACTCTTGACTTAGCAGTAGAATAACAAAAGTAAAGTTGTTTCTAGAAAATCATATTCATGATTCAGTCCATGCTGATTTGACAGTACTTTGCCAATCCTTCCTCTCTGCAACTTTGAACTTGTTTTTGTCTTTATTATTTTTGTTGCCCTTTAAACCACTTTACCTTAGAAAGATGCTAGAATTCTTTAACGCTTATTGAAAGATGGAATGTATTTAAAGGAGGGAAACAAATAAAAATAGTGTTGGAAAGCAACATTTCCCATAATTTTCCCCCATATTCAGGTTGTCTAGCCTTCCTTTCTTGTAGTCCAGCACTTTCAGAATTCCCTAAATTAGTGGTGTGGCACCTCATTCGACCCATCAACTAGTTTAGATCCTTATTTGAATATTCACTGTTGGCAATAACTGCAGAATTGTGTGATGTGTCTGACTGTATCCAAGGTGTGTGTTGACCTATGGAGTTTTGCTCAGCAAGGCGGTCTGACTGTATCCAAGGTGTGTGTTGACCTATGTTTTGCTCAGTGAGGCATAATAAGATTTATATCATGTAAGTCTTTATTCCTCTGTGGTCATTTTTTGACATATAGTAAATCCCTGGAATTGTGTTCTTTGTCCTCCCAGGCATAGACACAAGGGGCTAACAAGATTCAAAAATCTAGCATTTTCCGTTATGTTCATTTGAGGAAATAAAACTAGGGCATTTAGTGCCTGCATTTAATTATAATCTCACAGTAGCATTCGTAATTCTTTCAGGGGGTATTATACATACATATGTACTATGATGAGTAGAATTTTCCTGAACTACATCAATAATTTAATATTGGCCAGAGTTATTAAATAGGAAGAGAAAATGGCTTTTGATTAAAGCTACCTATGGATATCACTCTGTATCCTATCCAGTCCAATATTGTTCACTCAGTTTCCTGCTG